AACAAGAGAAAACTTTTATTTATTGTATCTCGTCTCATATCTCGTCAATACAATAGCAACAACAAGAGAAAACTTTTATTTATTGTATCTCGTCTCATATCTCGTCAATACAATAGCAACAACAAGAGAAAACTTTTATTTATTGTATCTCGTCTCATATCTCGTCAATACAATAGCAACAACAAGAGAAAACTTTTATTTATTGTATCTCGTCTCATATCTCGTCAATACAATAGCAACAACAAGAGAAAACTTTTATTTATTGTATCTCGTCTCATATCTCGTCAATACAATAACAACAAGAGAAAACTTATTTATTGTATCTCGTCAATACAATAGCAACAACAAGAGAAAACTTTTATTTATTGTATCTCGTCTCATACTAATACAATAGCAACAACAACAACAACAAGAGAAAACTTCTTACCCTGTTCTTTTTTTTGTCTGGTTTATCAGTTTTCTCATTTTCATTGTCTTTACTCTCTACAAATGTAACGGACCATAATATAAACCATTTTAAAAAAACTATTTTAACACAGACTTAAATACGCACTAAATCAATAAGATATGTGACAGAAAACAAAGAGAACAGATTTTTACACAACAACAAGTAATCACATAGTTTTTTCTGTAAATTATAGAGTCTAATACAAGTATGTATTAATAATTAACATCTATGGATCTAAAATTCTAAACATTATCTATGAATTTAGTAGCTTCTAAGAATGATGAGTTAAATACTTTACAAAACAAGTCATTGTTATTTTGAGATTTAAAACCATTTTTTTTTTCAATATCGCACGTTAGTTCAGACAGGAGAGTAAAATCAGTTCAATCACACTTTGGCCACAAATTTCCAAAACTTATTAATCTGGTAAGTTTGTGTTTAATACTATTTACTCTCTTACTTTTTTTGTTTTCAAAAAACATGCAATCATTTTAACAAACAGAATTTACACTGACTAAATTAAAATTAATTAATACAAAAGGAAGAACAAACTGACACTAGAGTACAAAACTAAGGAATATAAAACTCAACAGAAACTATTATTTCAAACGTAACAACTCTAGATAATTATAGTCAAACAGTAAACGAGGTGAAGTCATAGTATCAATTAAACATAAATAATTTAAAATATGGAAGTCGAAACAAATAAAAACTCAGATAAAATATTGATACAAAAAGTAAGTTATAACTTATTCCTTTACACTGGTCGTCAGCTATTCCTGTAATAAACACACAACTGTCACACCTGCTGCTTTACACTGGTCATCAGCTATTCCTATAATAAACACACAACTGCTTATTCCTTTACACTGGTCGTCAGCTATTCCTGTAATAAACACACAACTGTCACACCTGCTGCTTTACACTGGTCATCAGCTATTCCTATAATAAACACACAACTGCTTATTCCTTTACACTGGTCGTCAGCTATTTCTATAATAAACACACAACTGTCACACCTGCTGCTTTACACTGGTCATCAGCTATTCCTATAATAAACACACAACTGCTTATTCCTTT